CCGGCGCCGCCCGCCGCGGCGACGACGCGCGCGAGGCGGCTCGCGGCCGCCGCGGCCGCGTCGGCCGCGCGCGGCGCCGGCGCCGCCGCGAGCGCCGCGTTGCGCGCGCACCACGCCGCGCGGCGCCACCGCTCGCACGCGTCGGCGTCGGCGTCGGCCGCGGCGAGGTCCGCGCGGCGGTCCGCGCAGTCGACGAGCGCCCCGGGCGCCGCGGCGCCCCCCGGCGCGGCGGGGCCCGGCGGCGGCGCGAAGAAGCCCGCGGCGGCCGCGGGCTCGAGGACCGCGTCGAGGCGCCGCGCGTCCTCGACGGGCCGCGCGCCGTCGCCGCAGCGCTCGAGGGCCGCCGCGCAGGCGTCGCCGAATTTGCGCAGCGCCTCCGGGGGCGCGTCGATGGCCGGCGCGCCCGCGGGCGGCTCGAGCACGTCGACGCGCGGCGAGAACCGCACCGGCGGCCGCGCGTCGCTCGCGCGGCGCCGGCCGAGCGTCGTCACGGTCGCCGCCGCCGCGCCGACGCCGGCCCCGCCGACGCGGTAGTCCAGGCGCCGCATCTCCGTGACGCCGCCCTGCCAGAGGCCCCCGGCCCGGCCGCCGAGGGCCACGCGGCTCGCCGCCGCGGCGATGGCCGCGGCCCGGTCGCCGCCGGCCTCGGGCGCCGCCGCCGCGCGCAGGTCCAGCGCCGGCGCCCGCGACCCGGCGCGGGGCGCGCCCAGGCGGGCCGCGGCGTCCTCCATCGCTCACGGGCGATGCGCCCGGGCGCCGGACGGCGTCGACCCAACGTGGGCAGCGAAATTACTCCTCATCGGGCCAACCAAGTGGCCAACCGTTGCAAAGTCGTTGCACGGGAAAGAGCCGCACTTCCGGCGCGCTTCATCAGACGGCGCTTTGCGGCGCTTGGGCAGCTTACGGTTTGGTGGGGCGCATCCCGGCACCATGGGCGACGCGGCGCGCACGGAGCGCATCAAGGTCATGATCCGCGTGCGGCCGCTCGTGGCCCTCGAGACGGACGGCGCGCACCGGTCGAGCGACACCGTGGTGGAGACGACGCCCACGGAGGTCGTGCTCCACGGGGCCGAGGCGCGGCACCAGCTCGCCTGCGCCTTCGACACGGTGCTCGGGCCGGGCAGCACGCAGGAGGACGTCTACGGCCACGTCGGCGACTGCGTGGACACCGTCGCCCAGGGCTACAACGCGACGGTGCTCGCGTACGGCCAGACGGGCAGCGGCAAGACGCACACGATGTTCGGCGCCGGCGGCTGGAGCGAGTCGCCGGGCGGCTGGTCCGGCGGCGGCATCATCCCGCGGGCCGTCGCGGCGCTCTTCGACGCGCTGCCCCGGGGCGCGCAGGTCTTCGCGAGCTTCCTCCAGGTCTACCGCGAGCAGGTCTACGACATGCTCCGCGACGGCGCGATGGACCGGCCCCTCGAGATCCACGAGGAGGCGCTGAGCGAGGGCGGGGGCACCTTCGTGAGCGGCCTCAGCGAGTACGGCGTCCGGTCCGCGGCCGACTGCGTCAACCTCGTGCGCGCGGGCGAGGCGAACCGCGCGACGCGCGAGACGCAGATGAACGCGTCGTCGTCGCGGTCCCACTCCATCTTCACGCTCCTCGTGGAGCAGAAGCGCGTCGACGACGACGGCGGCGGCGAGGTCACGCTGCGGTCCAAGTTCAACCTCGTCGACCTCGCCGGGTCCGAGAAGTGGGACGCGCGGCAGGCCATGGGCGACGCGCGCGTCGCGGAGATGACGCGCATCAACCTGAGCCTCCACACGCTGGGCAAGTGCGTCGCGGCGCTCGCGGCGCGCGCGAAGCGCCGGGGCGGCGCGCCCGGCGACGCGGCCCACGTGCCCTACCGCGAGTCCAAGCTCACGCGGCTCCTCGCGGACTCGCTCGGCGGCAACAGCCTCACGCGGCTCATCGCGACGCTGAGCCCCGCGGCGGACTGCGTCGACGAGAGCGTGTCGACGCTGCGCTTCGCGGACCGCGCGCGGTCCGTCGTCGTGTCCGTGCGGCGCAACCTGCGGCGGCCCGTGGACCACGCGCTCGTCCAGCGGCTCCAGTCCGAGGTCCAGCGGCTCCGGGCCATCCTCGACGGCCTGGGCCTCGGCGGCGGCCCCGGCGGCGCCGGCGAGCCGCCGGCCGACGTCGCGGACCTCGCCGCGCGCTGCGCGCGGCTCGAGGCGGAGAACGCGCGGCTCCGCGGCGACGCGCCGCGGCGGCCGCCGCGGCCCGCGGCGGCCGACGGCGCCGTCGTCTCGCTGCCGCGCCTCGGGCCCGCGGCGCGCGGCGACGCGTCGTCGTCGTCCGGCGCCTCGAGCGACGGCGACGCGCCCGGGGCGGGCGGCGACGTCGCCGCGGGCGGCGACCTCGCGCTCGTCGGCGCGCGGCTCGTGAGCGCCGTCGACCGCGTCGGCCAGCTCGAGTCGG